TTGGGTGGTCGGAGACTCTAGATGATATGGCTTAGAATTGATGTCAGCGCCGCGGCTGCATCCACACGTTATCTTTATCGTAGTGATTATACCGAAGTTGATTCGTTCTTTTTCTCTTTCCACGGCTTTCTACCACTTCTAAATACGTTTTTCTTTGTTTATTTACCTTACATCCGTTTGCGTTTTATCTTGATGTGATGGTATATGGCGTAGCAACTTAGACCCTTTTGCAGTAATGCCAGATCTCACGTTGATGGTGACTGATTGAATTTCTGTTGTTTGAAACCAGGAGTGAAGTTTATGAAGGTTACTACATCTTGTCGTCCCTCTTTAACTTCAAAGTCAATATTATTCCTAAAACAGCAACGTAAGTGGTGGGGATGGTACAGAATTGCTATCAAAAAGAAATACTTTTTGACTTTGAGCATGTATTAAGTGTCATCTCACTGTTCGATGGCGCACAGAATACTCAAACCACATTTAATCAGTATGCGTAAGTATTGCTTGTGCTTTGCATCGTCGAAGTGCTTCTAGAAGATTGGTTAGGGCTTGTACTTGCACGCACTCTTGCTTGTGAACCGTTGGAAGTTCTCGGCAAGTTTTTGTATCTAGGCCGTTATGTGGATGCTACTGTAGGTGTGACTGATACTCGATACCGTTTAGGGATCGAAAATGACACATAGAAATGATTGATTTATGTTCAGTCGATCTGCAGACCACTAAACATATGCTGGCCGCTTTTAATGTAATACACAGTCCTTTTACGCGAATAATATCAATGAGGATTGTTATGATATTCTTCTAAGTGTATGAAATCTTTATATTTGCTATGATCGTAACACCGTTCTTTCTGCTGTTTGTCTCTTCATTATGCCAACTTTTGCTCTTGTTTTTAGTGATTATTTAACTACTCATAACAGTTTTTGGCGTAGCTTCATTTTCTCAATCACTTCACTTTTTTGAAGAAAGTACACAATCTGTGTTGAAAATATCCTTTATTCACATTTCATCATGTTTCACTTGTTATATTTGCTTGGTGGTAGCTTGCAATGGGATTCAGGACATGTATTTTGTCCTGATTGGGACTCGTTGGCTGATTTGCCTGCATCTCAGTGAGTGATGGTGTTCATACTGAGACTCGAACTTAGCATGTATCATTCTAAACACCAAAAAATTATTCATTAAGCCAGTGAGTTATGAGAGCCATCTTTTATGCAACGGACATCATTTTTTATTTGCTAGTTCTTATGATTACCCGGAAGACACTGCTACTCAACAACTTGAGTAATTAGAAACCACCCAGGTTGATCTTTAGTATTTCGTCAGCCGTGTCTAATTGATCTGAGTACCGGACAACCGTTTCTTTCGTTCAAAACCGAGTTCATCAGCGATATACAGCGATATACAGCTCATAGAATCGAATTAGTTCAGATCATCTGAAACTTGCTAAGTGACTTGAATGGACCAGCATACTTGTGATTCCCCGTTGATGATTATACTCGACCGGCTTGATCTATCTCTTTCGGCCTCATTATTGCCTCAGGTTTCGTTTTGATATATTTGCTTGATAGTGGCTAGCAGCTGAATCTAGACTGAGCGTTCCATGTTGTTTGGAATTGTTTAGCAAGATGTAGTTGACTCTCAATAAATGTTGTTTTTCTTACTGATGATGACCTCTTTGTAATCGATTACGCATATATTGTGTTGTCCACTCACCGTAGACGTCTTTTACCTATGAATAAACTAGATGTCTTTCAGCTATTGAGAAATATATCCTAAATCACGTGGGGATAAGATCAAAAACTGATTTCCTGAGTATCTTTACTATTTAAACTGCGCATTTAATGTTCTGTATCAATAAATTACTTTTAGGAAGCTTCATTATCTTGTGTTTTTCGTTGTCTCTTTTCCTGAAGTTGTGGCAATAATTTGGTTATTTTCATATTAAAAATTGTATAATTCTGATTTTTTGGACTTAGAGTTTTAGCGTTTTATTATGTTATAAAGAATAAAATACTCTGTGTAAAATCATAGAGATTTTTGTATTTTCCTGTCATGAAATCTTTTGCCTTTATAATGTTATTTGGTGACCGTTATTCATGTTAAACTGTTTTCATAGCGTTTACGAATGACTAAATAACCGTGTTTTAACAAGGTAAAAAGAGCTATTAAAAAGGCAGCAAAAAATACTTTATCGATTGAATTTGTCACACTTCTGAATGCTACAAACAAAGAAAATCACAACTTAAAAGTTATCTATTCACTTCACTATTATTCAATAGTTATTGAGAAACAGTGAACGTATATTTTGATATTCTAATGAAGGGATATCTTTTAACTATGATACTAGTGACAGCGTGATGGGTATGTATTTACACCTACTTATTTACCTAAGTTACAATATAAATACTGTGTTGTTTGTTTGATATATGCTGAGTTTGTGCTTTTAGCTATAGAAGTATATGCTTCAGAGACTCAGAAATTGGTTCTTATTAATGGAAACATAGTAGCGTACTGATCATATGTACCATAGATTAGACTTGGAATAATACTTTAAAAAGAAAAGAATCAAACTCTCGTTGAAAAATATTCTTCGTAGTCTCCACCAGTCATCCTCTGTTTTCTAACAACCTAAGGAATAAGGTCTTATCAGTGATCATCTCTATCTGTGCATTTCAGTTTATCTGTTCCTGCTGAGGTATGTAGATGGTTTAACACAATTCATATCCAAAAGGAGTCAAGAAAACTATCCTGTATGGTTGCAAAAATGTGGTAACAGTCTAATGAAGTGTGAAATATTTCAAAATCTCATGAACGCTGATTGCGCAATCTCGACAGTTTTCAAAATTATCTACAGAGTCAAAGCAGACCTCCTAAAACATTATATGCTCGCCTCCTTTGTATTTCTAAAGTAATATCGATTTAAATAGAAAATCCAGAGCTTTGCATACCAAAAAGAATTGTTCAACTTTTTCTTTTTTCATGTTCTTAATCTTCAAAGTTTTAAATAACCATTTCTTTTCCTTCTTCCATTCTACTCATTCTTTGCGTAATAACAACTACTTGTCCTCATGCTCCGTTTATAACGACTCACTCTTCAAGTAATTTATCGTGTTACTCTGTCCATTGTCAATAAATAGTTTTCTTCATGTAATTTATGTTAAACTGTGAATATTATTCACTAAAGTTTTTAAAATCTTCACTTATCACAACATATCTTGTTTATCACCATATCCTATAAATAAAAATTATTGTACAGATCTTGAGGGTCTAACATTTTCACTGAATAAAACTGTATGTAATGGCTGTTGTACAGCTTCGAAAATAAAAGCTCTGGGATTTTCCTAACTGAACTACTTCTTGTGTTCCTACTAACTTGTGTTGTTACACTTAGATATGAGTCATTAACTTAGAAACTCTTCTCCCAAGCAATGGGTATTGGATTCGAACTCTGCTCTGTCTAATTCGTCTTGAGCTGTCTGGTAGTATCACAGTTCACCATAGAGATTATACAACGAAGATCAATTCTCAAAAAACATAAAGCTTGCTTAGGGCCAGAACAAGGACTTCATCAGAATAATATGAAAACGCCAATTTCATACTTGTTTTGCTCAAATCCATGTTGTTATTTTTTTTGTTCCGACTATTTGAATTTTTCGATTTTCCTTCGATATTATTATTCATCAAGGGAAACATGTTCATGAGACAGAAAAAACTGCATCAATTGCCATCAAAACATCAACTTGAGAAATAAACTAAATGTATGCGAACAAAACAAATAGTAGATCCCTGCACACTTGAGTCATCTCAACTAATGTTTCTAAACTCCAGCTCCTGTTTTCCTAAATACTTCAATTAATTATTCTACATTTTCGTAAGCTTGTAGTCGGTAGCTTCGTATATTACTATATTGTCTAGGACCGCTGTGTTTTTTAAAGAAGACTAAAGAATCTCAGTACTGTGTTTAAGAAAAGTACTTTGAATTTCGTGGAAGTTAACATATTCACCTTCGTTATTATCTATTCAAAGTTCGTTTATAGGTTTTCACACGACCTGGGTTAGCACCTATTAACAGTGCATGTCTGCATCCTTAAAGGAATTTACATCCCCTTAAGGTTTTGACCTAAAGTCTCTCGCTGTAGAATTCAAAGACTACTACTACTGTTATTGAGACAATAAGTGACATAGGTTTGAGTCACCGAAGGTAAATGAGTCTGCTCTACATTTTATTTTCGCCCTTCGGATGACTGCAGATGAACAACCTAAGACTAGCACCTCCTTTCGATGGACTACTTGCACCAGGACATACCGTACATCAGTCTCTTGTCACGTGGCTGAGTAAGTGTATCACAAACTTGATTAGGTCTGGATAGTGGCGTTGATCCTCCTCCAGTGATGTAAACATTTGAATTATTCAAGCATTTATTTTGTCTGAATTCAAATACATACATCGTCATGCTATCTTAGTTGCAGTTAGCAGCCATATGTATGCGTCTTTAGAAATAGCTTTCTCCTACCTCTTTGTGAGATGCTTGTCTCTGCTCTCTATGTATGTGTTTGAGTAATAACAATAACATTTAGGAAACCATTGTGTTGATGGGAGTTAATTTTTTTCCAGTTATTGATTTTTATATTGTGTAAAACCCACTTTTAACGTGCAGCGTCTTTTTGTGCTATTCTGATTTACCCCATTTTATCTAATCAATATCTTCAGGATCGAATAAATGATTAAATCGCTGTAGTGTCTTACACAGTATCATACCATAGCCTAATCAGATGATTCGCCGTTTTTATGTGTGTTATTTTTTCGATTACAGCGCATAGCGCTCGTGAGAAAGCATTTATTGTTTATTTGTTTGTTTGATGTATTTCTTGTTAAGATTTGCCCGTGATTCTAACTGGGTCTTTTTGCGTAATTCATAACAGAAATTTATTTACAAATTCATTGTCTCACTTGTTATTTATTTTGTTCTCTATATTTAACGTTCGTCTATGATAAGGTCTTGCCTCTGAATTAAACTTACTTGTTTGGTTGCCAAGAAATCAAAGTCGTTTGGTGAAACTGGCTGCCCAAGGTGGTTGTATTATATGTCAAAAACTACTTCAGTGTGTCGTTGACAATCCCCACCAAGCTCAACTTCATGTTTTACCTATGCAGCAGTTGAATTTGACAGGTCTTGTCCAGCACCGGAACAAAATGGGTGATCGATTACCGAGTGATCCCTTTCACAAATCATCTAGTCACTCTAAATTACGGCCTGTTTTAGGTTGGCGCCCGACTGGTTGGTCCCATCGGCAATCAAGCAAAAGTCAAACGTCGATAGTACCTTCGCCTAGTGGTGTTGTTCTGGAACGCAAGCAGGGAGACATTCATATATTCGGTAAGCTTCCTGATGCACCTGGCTTTCAGAAGGGGACAGTTTTCGCCATTTTAAGTTTGAAACTGATATTTATTGTATAGGTAATTGTTTAATAGAGAAAACTTTTGTTTCAGAAATGATATTTTTATTCTAGGCTGTTTTTGTACTCCAATAATAAGTTAGTGCCTCTAGGTTAACGGACATAGTTATATATGAATTATATATGAGTGACTAAATTGAAATTGTGTTCACGATGGTGTTGATTATTGATTCACTGTAATTGATGAATGCCTTTTATTTAACCCTTAATGAATGGATTTCAAAAAAATGGAATTCATGTCGTACTGATCGAGTTGTATTCATGTTTTTCCACCGAACTAAACTTTTATTTATTCCGAAAACATTTGACCAAGATAAATGGTTGTTATATCTCCGAGATGATTACGTCGCCACTGTTATATTGCTGGTTTGACAAGTTAAGGGGGACAGCCGAGCTAATATTTACAATACGATCTTACAGCCACTAACATCGCGCCAGTGGATTCAGAGAGAAAACGAAGCTAGACTGTTAGCCCATGTGAAATGCACAGTTATTTGTATTTTGCCGAATGTATGGGCTTTAAAGCGTAGGTGGCCTTACCAGAATGCCAGAAGAATCCAAACAAAAATAGAAATATGTAGGACATTCATGATTGATTGGTCATTGCTGTCGTTCTCTCTCTGACTACAAATACAACAGTAGTACATCGGAAAATGCGAAGGTCATGAGATAATCAATGATTTCTAAAGAATTTGTGTAAGTTGAATGTATCTACTAGTACTCCTCCTTCGCTCATGGAATAATTTATCTGGTCATTGTACTGTATTTGATAATCCAATAATTTATTTCTCTCATCTTTCGCTTGTTTTTATAGGATGAAGCTGTTGTAGCATCGCCAAGTTTAACACTATTGTCCAGTAGCTTTTTAAGATTCGTTTTAACATTTTATACTCTAAACGTTACACTATTAATATATTGAAGTTGTGTTTTATAGTCTTTAGGCTCCATCTTTCTAAGTAGTATGTTGATATTAGCTGAGACATCACTATCTTCAGTGTAACTTTCCTTCTTCGCTATTAGTTTACGACTATCGACTCCTGTATCATGTAAAAGTCTGTTTCATGTACTTTTGATTGCTCACCTGTCAATTTTATCACCGCTGTATATAGTATCATTCTTTTAGTTTGGAATCTGGTCAGAAGACGCATCATTTCTATAAGTTATGTGTATAAAAGTATGATGCAAATTGTACTAAGAATACATTTTTTGTACACTTAGTACTTTCAAATTTTTTTCCCTCAACTCTGTCAAATTTTTTATTTATTTGTAACCTGATAAGGTCATTGAAAAAGCATTGTCACATCACACATGAGATTGTTTAAAGATTATCTTGAGTTATTATTTAATCAGCAGTTTAGTTGATGGAGCTTCACAAAGAGTAGGACACCACCAGACGCACTACTTATTCAAAGTTTGTCTGTATTACTTGCTTACAATTAGGTGTATATAGTCTTGAGTAAGTGACTGAGTAAAAGTAATTACTGTAAATTGAGTTGCTTTCAGCCAGTGACTCTAAAGGCCACCCTAGCAACAATTGAAATAACCAATTACACATCTTCATTTTATGAAAATATGCCTTTCCAGTCGAGATTAAGAAGTCTAATTGGCTATTGCAGTAGTTGTCAGGGTAGCCATTAAAGTAATTCGTTAACACGACCTCCTATACTCAGGTACACGGACTAGTCACTTAGTTCATTGTATACAGACCTCTTCGGTCACAGATACAGTGATATACTTGTTTATAGGATTGCAAGTTTTGTTACTGTTGCACTTATAAAATTATGGGGTGAGGATGATGTATTCAGTAAACTACAGATCCTTGAGACGGGTTAGGTGTAGATTAGGAATACAAAGATGACTTGCTAGTTAATGTTTACATTGAGTAACGTTTGGTGATCGAACTAATCTAAGGTCAATCGTAGCAACTGCTGAAATAATCATTTAGGTTTCTGCATTTCATAGAATTCTACCATCCTATACAGAATATCAAAATCTGATTGGGTACTTCAACTGTCACTAGGACGGGATTCGGAGTCACTGTTACTATCACACCGACCTAAATCCGAGCTGCCAGATGGTAGGACTTACCTTCACCCAGATCAAAATCATTGACGTAGTATCTAACGCCAAAACCTATGCTGCATGCCGAATATTTGTGTCCATGTAAGCTTTTCTCACTTTCCACATAGGACTAACTTTTCAATTATAAGAATATAGTAAAGTTTAGGATAGTCTCTTATTATAAACGACAATTATAAGTATGGTCATGTGATTTTATGCAAACTTCCAAATAAATCTGATTGGTTTTGAACGTTTTGAGAAACTTCTTGAAGGACCTAAATGGCAATGGTGCATTCATTTATTTGACATGTGGATTTTTATTTAGGTGCACATAAAGTTGTACGTCTTGATTTGAGTTACTGGTTCAGTAGACTGTACATTATGCGTGTACTAAAACACTCATAAGGTCATCTGATGTATGATATAAGAAATTCCATACTTACCATAGTGATATATGCTCTTTAAGAAGTAATAAATTATTCTTTTATGTGGCAATACATTTTACTAGAAAAACCCTCCGATAGATGAAAACAACGTGATATCTTATTCGAGTGTGCATTGGTTCAAATTGCCATGAATCTCATCAGTATACTAAAATAAAATAAAGACAAGAAATGAAAGCAGTAAAATTAGAAACTACAAAAAGCTCTCAAACAAAGAGAAAAGGAAATGAAAGTAAGCGGTGGTAGAATACTCAAGATTTAAATTAAGTCAAGACGTATATGTATGGGAGCTGTATCTCCTAACGTAACAATGAAAAGATGTAAACTTTGGTTCAGTATACTTGAGTTTTCAAAGACAATTCATTCAGAACTTATACTGGTAATATTTTGTCTTCGTTTTTAGTTGCTTCCTTCCGATCTGTAAACTGATGTTTCATACCTCACTGTTGTCCTTAATTTTGTAGCCCAAATGCCTGCGTTGTATATTTATAATGCTTAGTGTTGTGGGCCTGTTAATCAACCGTGCACACGCAATAGCTCTTAATATAAACAAGAGTCTAATGGTGGGAAAGGTGTATTTCGTCTTGTGTTTAATTCAGTCGTTTATTTGTTAGTGTGGGAAGTGCGGTTATGCGCAAACAGTGAAGCGCTTACAAGGTTTTAGTCAATGATAGAGTTAAAGCTGTATTTTGCACTTATCACTACAAACTACACGATCCAAGTCATATTAAGTTGTTACCGCTGTAGGATTGGCGAACAAAATACTTTCACCTTCCTATAGAAAAACCAAGGTAGGATTCGGAGATTCGATTGGTTAGCATCAGTCTATCAATCTTAAACTACTACACTTAATCTACGATATTTGGATTAGAGGATAGTCCGGCATAAATTGTGTCAAAGACAGTCCGGTTGGTTCAGATCGATACTTTGATGTTTAACTAGCTTACTTCCTTTATCTAATATTCAGATGCGTATTTTCTCATTGTTCACACAATGATGCAGCTTATTTCGCAAAGATGTTTTATTATTACAAATCATTTTAAAATCTCATAGTATGCATTTACATTTCTCAAATTATCATTATATTATAATTATTTGTTTGTTGGGTTCCTAGTGGAACATAGGGCTTCAGTAGCACGTCTCCGTTCTACTCTGTTCTCTGCAATCTTTTGAACCTGGCTCCACGACTACCCACAAGCTGTCATTTCTTCCTCACACAATCTCCTTCATGTCACTCTCGAACGCTCAACTCGCCGTTTCCTATCTGGGTTCCACTCGAGTGCCTGGTGCGTGATGTCCCCGATTGATCTGCTCAGTGTATGCCCAATCCATCTCCACTTTCTTCCGCCCGACCGATAGCTGCTACCTTGACATGGTGGTCGCGCTTGCATATCACAATGACCCAATGAACACATGTTCCCTCGAGGTTCTACCATACCAGAAAGGCCTGTTGGATGGTGGTTAAAATAAAAGCAGTTAACATTGTGGTGTAAATTACTACACTATGATCGGCGTATATGGGCGAAGTCGTACTGCTGCTAGCTGGATGGGACGTGACAGCAGTAAGGTGTTTCCCTTGGATGACTAGCAGTGCCATGCTGATGCTGTCTTCTCAGTGGAAGAGGGGGTTAGAAAAGATCGGCCCCAGAAATAACACACTCCACCATGCCCCACTGTCTACCGGGCAGGCGGTGTTAGTTCATTTGTCGTTTCTTTTCGACCATCCGGCCCCAAAAATGCTTAAGTTCAAAATAATCATACTCAAAATGCTACGTGTGACAAGCCTCAAGTAGATGTCCGATGGGCTCTGCGGTCACACAAATCTCTTTCAGGTACCTTAAGAAGAAATAGCCGTCCACGGTATGGGCATTCGGGAAGTGTCAACCGCCCTCACAACTCAATCAGCACTCAAATTTCTTCTGACTGCTATCCACCTCCTCCATCATTACCTTCTAATCTTCCTTCATGTCTCCTAATTAATGATGCTGCATCATCTTCAATTTCTCCTACCTCTGCAGCCTTCGACAACGATCTGAGTCCACAGAACAGCATCACTGGTTTCCTTAAACCACGCTCCAAATTACATATTGGAGCCTTCAATGTCCACACCCTCTGTCAATTTGGTCAACAGGCTTCGTTAGCAAAGACTCTAGCAACTTAGGCCAAGGATGTGTGCTGTGTTTGTGAGACACGCATACAGGACCCAAGTGTGGTTATTCACCTGACCTCTCCTGACCAATTTGGTGAATCCGCAAAATTCACCCTTCGAATTTCTGGAGATTCGATAGCTAGCTCTCGTGGTCTTGCAGGTGTAGGCATAGCATTAAGCACCAGGGCAGAAAACTCTTTACTAGACTGGATCCCAGTTGATAGTCGCCTCTGTACTATGAGGCTGAACGGTACAGTAAGAACTAAAA